CTGGTGCTCGCCTTGTTGAAAAGCTTCGAGGAATTCAAAATCGCCCAAATCCCCCGGGCAGAAAATGCAGATGCAGACCTTCTCTCCAAACTAACGCAGTATGCCCCCGAGCATGTTTCAAAACTTGCCCGGGTGGAAATCTTGGACCGTGCCAGCATCGAGAAACTCGAAGTAGCTGTCATAACAGGGGAAGCCCAATCTGACCGGTCAAACTTGGTCGGGGCGGATGATCACTGGATGTATGATCTGATGGAGTATCTGATGAACGGGACCTTGCCGGAACAAGATGACCGGGCAAGAAAAGTGAAGCTCAGGGCACCACGGTTCCAGGTCCTGGATGGGAAGCTGTACAAAAGGGCATTCGGAGGACCACTCCTGAGGTGCCTCACCAACCGGGAAGCTGAGCGAGTCATAGTAGAAGTGCATGAAGGGGTATGCGCAGCACACCAAATGTCCCGCACCCTTTCCCAGCGCATTATCTTGTTGGGATATTACTGGCCGACAATTGTCCAGGACTGTGAGAGGTACGTTCAAAAATGCCGAACATGCCAAGTATTCTACAAATACCTCGGTAGGCCGGCAACCTACTACCACCCCGTATCAAATGTCATCCCATTCGCTAGGTTCGGGGTGGATATCATTGGAGCATTCCCAATCGCCCAGGGAGGGAAGAAGTTTGTGATCGTGGCCATCGATTACTTTACCAAGTGGATCGAGGCCGAAGCCTTGGCCAATATCACCACGCAGCAATGCAAGAAGTTCATCTGGAAGAACATCATCACAAGGTTTGGGGCTCCCATGAACCTAATCACCGACAACGGCCCACAATTCCGAAATCCAAGATTCACCGAGTACTTGGAGGGCTTCGGGATCAAGCATAACCGCTCTTCGGTGGCGTACCCCCAGGGAAACGGCCAAGTTGAAAATGCAAACAGAACCATTGTGGATGGTCTGAAGAAAAGGCTGGGAGAAGCAGGAAACAAGTGGCTGGAAGAGCTACCACATATCATCTGGGCGTTCCGAGTAACACCCAGGAGGGCTCATGGGGAAACTCCATTCTCTCTAACCTATGGGTGTGAGGCTAGGCTGCCCATCGAAGCCGAATTCCCAACGTTTCGGGAATCAAACTATCAACC